TCGGGGAAACGACATGTCCCCAAGCGATGGTGGAAGGCGAATTGGATGGATGGACCTTGGCCTTCTTTCGTTTAGCAAATCCTTATGTCCTTATGGAAAGGAAGTGTCCTGGATATCAGACCGAGGGTGTCTCCCAGCATTTCATTCAACTTATAATAACAGCTCGTCATTAAACAGCCTTCAGTCGGGGGAGAGGGAACTCAGGATTGACGCATGAGCTGAAATCCCCAGTGAACTGACCTGACCTGTTTGTACAGGAAAAGCAGTTAAAAACAATCTGATTGTTCTCCTCTCGCCAGATCCCTGGGGGGGGGTTGGGTGAGGAAGACCCTTCTTCGGCCCATTTGATCTCCCCCTTAGGGAACACCTGCTTCCACAACCGTAGACATTTACAGCCCAGGAGAAGGCCCATGGTGTCTGTGTCGGTTCTTTTAAAGAACAAATCCTTTCCATTCCATTCACCTGCCCCCCATTCCCCTCCACACCACATCCCCTGTAGTTTACTCCTTTTTAGATGTTTACCCAGTTCCCTTTTGAAAGCTAATATGTGGAGTCCTGTGGGGTAGTGGTTAGTCCTCTTGCCTCGTAAGCTCGCTTGGGTTCGATTTCCGGGTGGGATGAAACCTTAGGCAAGTTTACTTAAGTAGGAACCCAGTTCATAGCTGATTGGCGGATCGCATTCAGGGGACAATAATTTCTTACAGTATATTCTGTGAAGCGTTTTGAGACGTCTCAGTGACATGGTAAGACGCTACATCAAATGCAAGGAATATTATTATGTAGTTATTTATACACACATATATATAGGTATATATGGATTCTGTCTCAACCACCGCTCCCATTAGGGCTCTCCACACATCCTAATCTACTCCGTTTGCAGACGATATTCAATTGATGCCCTTCTGGTCACTGACTGAGCCACACACCCACACAACAACCCAGCAGTGCCCTGACACACTGCCCCCTGGTCACTCCCGTTACCGCCAGCGAAGGCTCTAATTACGAACGAGGCACAGCGAGCAAATCAATCAAAGCCCCAAATCCCAGCAAATCCTCTAAAGGGTAAAAAACAAAAGTCTCATTTCCTGGCCTCAAAAGATCTTATGAATATAAATCCAATTCGTGCTATTGCTTTGGACTCCGCTCTGTGGTGCCCTCCAGCACACAAAGCAATCAACACCCTTGTTTAAGTGACATCTCGGGTGTTTTCTCTCTCTCTCTCTTCGTTTCATTACAACCAGTCGGTGCCTCCCCACTCCCCCCCCACCCCCCCCGCCCCCCCTCCCCCCCACCCCCCCCCCCCCCCCCCTTTCTGAACAGGGACGATTTGCCAATTTCATTCTACAAAACGGTCAACTTCAAAGCAGCTCAATTCAATGAGAAACAGTTGACATTGAAAGCCACTGGCGCGTAGCCATCGATTGGCTTCAGACAACCTTGGGATTGTGTTTTCTTTCTGGCATCTTCTCAATAATTTTCAACAGATTTTTTTTTATTTATATGTATCTACAGTCGCTCACTGCATGTACTGTACAACCGAGCGTGCGGCTCAGTGGCGGTTCTCTCTCTCTCTCTCTCTCGCCTCCAAGTCAGAAGCCTGGGGGCCTCAAACTCCAAGTCGGGATTTGGAATCGCATAGTCTCGGCTGTCGCTCCATTGCAGCATTGGGTGGGGGGTGTTGCATTATCGGAGGTGCCTGTCCTTTGGATGAGACGTTAAACTGAGGTCCCGTCTGCCTGTTCAGGTGGATGTTAAAGATCCCGAGGCAGTGTTTGAAAAGAGAAGGGAGTTCCCCTCTCCCTCCCGGTGTCCTGGGCCAACAATCACTCACTCTATGACTGTTTGTGGGGACGCTGCTGTACACAATTGGCTGCCGCGTTTCACCCACAAAATACAGACAAATTCACTTTACAGTGTATCCCGTGAAGCACTTTGAGACGTCTCAACGACGTGTAAAAATGCAAGGATTATTATTATGATTATTATGATTACCATTGAATCTTTTCGAACAACGAGCTTGATTTCGAAACCAGCTGATGTGAGCATGACACTGACGGGAGAGAGTGCAGCCGTGCACTTTTGAGGCTGGGTAAACAGACCGAGCACAACTAAGCCAACAAAGCTGCGACTTGTTTTTCCTGTGGCTCCCTCATCACAATGGTTTAATAGAATTCCTGTCAAGCACAGAGCTGGCTTTGTGTGTGCACAGTGTCTAACTTATGACCCTAATATCGTTGATATCAGTACAGAGGCTTTTTAGCAATAAAAGGCGAAGCAGTAATTAACAGCTGGTATTAAAGCACTTGGCAGCCTGGCCAGCAATTCAGCACAAAGCAAACAATTTGCTATAAATGGCTTTTGATTGTGGAGCCTTCGGATAATTACGCTCCATAAATGCACTGTAAAAAAAAAAGCTCACGATCAAAAGGCAACAAGCCTGGAGCTCGGGCCCCACACACCAGAGCAAAGCTCGGCCCTCAGCCACCAGCCTCCCAGGCCTGAGGTCACTACACCCACTCCCAGGGCATTGCTCTGTGGGGAAAGCTTCACTCATGGTGACCCATACACTGCCCCCAGCGTAGTGGTTAGAGCACTCGCCTCGCCAGCCAAGAGGACCCGGGTTCCATTCCAGGGTGTCGGCTTTGGACGCGGCGGTTTGTGGAGTCCTATGGCCTTTCCCACTGTCTGTCACTTGACACAATCCCTGGGCTCGAGGGACGAGACTTCCAATAGTGAAAGAGGGGGGTGAGGTGGGGTGGGTGGGGGGGGTGAAGCCTGCGAGCAGGACACACAAGCTGATTTCAGGAAAGTGTCGTTAACTTGTCATTATCGGTGTCAGAAATAACAAGGCGGCAAGGAGTCGAGTCAGGTGAGAAGTCTTGTTTGTTGTGGCGCCCAGACAAGGAACATTGAGAACGGGGTGTGAAGGGGAGGTCAACATTATCTCACACACAGATTCAGTCTGACCGGTACACTGCTTCTCATACTCTATGTCAGTTCATAATAATTAAAAATAAAAACTTAGACTTTATCCGCTTGGTGGTCGATGATGTTCTTTCCCATCCCACCTCCACCCCCCCACCACCACCACTACCCTGTGACCTCCAATATTTTCTATCTCATTGACATGGCAGTGTTGGCTGTGCAAATAGCAACTCTTTTCATTATTGACTGAGCTAATGTTGACATTTTGTCACAAACTGCAAAGTTAATACGATAAAGTTAATCACTGATTAAATGCACCACAACTCAGTGGATTGCTGAAAGCACCTGTTAAATAAGCCCTTTACTGTTTGCCTAAGCACATTTCTGTGGGACTGACTCGGGATATTCCAGAGTGGAAACTGAAACTATTCTTTGTGTTCGTAAAGAGAGATTTAACCACTTGATGACTACGCATCTATAACAGGGTATAATAGGGTAATGTCTCAGGGCGCCTCACAGGGACAAGAATGTTCTCTGAACTTTGGTGGGGTGGGGGGGGGCACAGACACGGTCGAAGAAAGGATTTGAGGGTAAGAATGTGTGGTGGAGGGAGAGTTCCAGTGGTTAGGGGAATAGTGACTGAAGGCTCAGTTATCCCTTGTATTTGATCCAACATCTCATGACACCATGGAAACGCCTCACAGCGCTTCGCAGGGTTTTACTGGATGTATCGTGTAGTGACTGTGCGTTTGTAGGCGAATAATCTGGAAGTTGAGTCACATTGTCTGTAGCCGGTCGCAATCACTGTTGTTTTAATAGCGCAACTGCACCGTCTGCTGCACAGTTGTTGTATTGCAGGAAGAAGCATTTTCAAGGCTTTTAATGGGACTCAAAGGAGGATTAAACACAGTGAACTTGTGTTTAATTATCATTTATTTGGAACAAGACACTCAACAGTGCATCCCACACGGGATCAGACAGGGAAAGCGTAGTTTAAAGTATATTAATAATAATACAGCATATACAGAGGGCAAAATGTCACGTGCAAAATAATATTGTAATGTTTTAGAACAACTAAATGTGAACCGTCTGTTTGACACGAGTTATATTGTAGGTTAGTTGGCTGCACTCTCAACTCTCTGTTGCCAGGAGGTATATGAGTTCCAAACCCCACAGCGAGACTTCAGTCCAAGCTGTAGGGTGTGTGTGTGTGTTGTGTGTGGGTAAGAAACACTGCATTGTCAGAGATGCCGTCCTTTGGTTGAGATGTTAAACTGGGGTGTCTACCTGGCTCTCTCCCAAGATGGACAACAAACTATCTTGTGATACTGTTGGAAAACAGAAGGGAGTTTGTACTGGCTGACGAACAAACTCACTGCATGGCTGTTTGTGGGATCATACCGCAAGCAAATTTGCTTAGACATTTGACAATAATTGGCAGCAAAGCTCCTTCAAGATGTTTTTGAGGTTATGAGCCACTGAACTGAACGCGAGGACTGAAGCGAGGGTGTGAGATTTAGGTGTCATCGGTTGGGGGTCAGCGGCATTGCTGTGGACATGAGGATCAGAACTCGCTGGCCAGAAAGTGTTCATTTCTGACCTTGCTCACTGATTGCCAAAGATGAAATTAAGATGGAATTATAAGGGGAGGGCGGAAAAAGGAGCAGGGATTCCTCAAAATTAAATAAATTAAACAAACCGACGTCGCATAAAAAATAAACAGCGTGTCGTGTTAGCTGCACAACAGCACATTCAGAAAAGCCGCGCACAGAGGGACAGGACAGCGACTTTCCAAATCAAACACTCGTGGTTTTCAATCAGGGAAAACAAACAGCACGAGGCAAATAACGGAGGGAACTTTCGCTGGGAGTGTATCCAAATCAAACTGAGAATTCCATGCATCCCACCTCCACATGGAAATTCCAGAGAGATTGCTGGAATGGAATGCACACACACACACACTCTCCCCGGAGGGACGCATTCTGTTCACCTATTTCCGGAGAGTATTAGGCACGTTAATAATAATAATACATATTCTAAGCTAAAATATTTTTTAAAGAGACACATAAGCTTTATTTGAAATACTGAACGTGACTTTATTTTTCCATCTTCCCTACTTGATTTGCAAAAAGCTGCACCGTACATAAATATGCATTATACATCTGCAGAAGTAACTAAATAAGAATGAAATTATCACCGTATTTTGAGCTACGGGAAGTGCACACAAGTAGAAAAGTCAATTACATACGGGCCTTATCAGATTAAAAAACCCTAAGCACAAAACCTATTATTAGTTTAACTGGTTATGATGGACAGACAGACGAATAATTCTTAACATTAATAAGCCTCCCAGAGAGAAACAAAACAAAAAAAACTTAGCTTATAATGCAAAAGCGAGTTGCTGTGATGTTGTGTTCGTGCATATCACACGTCCCAAAAGAGGTCTCTAAAGTGCATCTTCTCTATTGAAGAATAGCAGCAGCTCTGAAAAGTTTTTTTTCTACATATAATCCCAGGGAGGGAGGGGAAGAGAGAAGGAGTGGGAGGGGCGGGGGGGTAGGAAGTGGGGGAAATAATTATTGGAGATCTTAATGTTTGACAGGACTTTATAGTTTTTTTAAAAAATAGGTTTACGAAAATTCATTTTACAGCAAAATTGCAGATTCACAGCGTCACCAGCTGTTGTTGCAGTGTTACTGACCACTTGTGCAAAGGTATGGAAACTAGGGCGGAGAGGGAAGATCATGATTAACTACATGGAACGGGTATAAAATAATCTTATTCCACACAGTAACAGGGTTCATACATGTAATGGCAAACACATACACAGTCCGTACAGTGCAAAAAGGGAGGGGTGGAGAGAGAGAAAAAAACGATTGTATGATATACCCATTATAAATAGCCAGTCAGGAAGAGTACTTGATCAAACTTTACAGCTACTTCAACATTGCCAAATTCTCTTCTTCATCAAACACTCGTGGTTTTCTGCCGTGTTCCAGAACGTTAGACACTTGCTCGAAGGCTCAACAACAGAATTCCCTCCAGACAATGGTTCCGCTGCTGCTATGGCTTTCTGCGCCTGGAAATGTAAAACAGTGAAGGTGATAAACAAACAACAACTTGCATTTACAGGGTGACCCAAAAAGTCGTGATACCATTTATTTTTAATAATAATTACTTGATTTCTTCATCAGTTCCTGAAGACTCGTTAGACATTGTAATGGTATCATAGCTCGTTGGTCACCCTCACGCAGGGTAGTTTCCCGGAGCTCAGTCACCACATATGTCAACATTCTGAGGAGTGATGAGCAAGCAAAACACCGCCTGAACGGTATGTAACAAAGACATTGCAATGCGCTAATCCACCTGACAGCACCAACACAGTTACTGAACGACAACAACACAACGTACTTGGGCTGAGCGTGATGCTGGTATCCGGGTCCAAAGTTGCCGCCTGCTTTCATTTCAACTGCAACGGAGCACTGAAAACACAGAGTGGTACAAACTGAACTGGGTGCTGTGAGCAGCGCCCTTTTACCTCAGTAGAAAATGGGTGTGGGGGAGAGAAAGGGAGGGTAAAGAGAGAGAGGAAAACAAGTCTACAAGTAATCCCAGCCCCCCCTTCACCGTTAAAAGGTTAACATCTCACTTACTCTGGTCTCCACGTCTGTCCACTCCGATTCTGTAGTCTCCACTTGCTGAGGAGGAGCCGATTGTGATGACCTACGTTTCCTACTATAATAGAGAAACAAACCATGAGTGAAGAGTCATCTCTATCCTGGCAACAGTCTGTTGGATAAGCCTTGTCGTTTCCCAGGCCCCTTTAGGCTGGTTAATGTGCACACCCTTACCTTGTACCAGTCGGGGATTCTTGCGTTAGTCTCTCGATGTTAGTGAACTGGACAGATTGCCCACCGCCTCTCGTCCTGAACACCTCCCCCTGTGACACAACACAACACAGGACGCATTGAGCGAACCCTGGCACCCACCGCATAAGCCTCACACAAGCCATCGCACTGCATTAAAGTTAAACAGTATTATATTACTCTGATAGCCTTTAAAACAATTACCCATTGGCTGAGTCATTGGAACCATTGAGTTCAGTTCTACAAACTTATTGGAATAAGGTTCAAAGAGGATGATAGGAAGGCTAGGAGTGAATATTTAAAGTCAACATTTGTGCAAATCGAGTCGTACAGTACAACATGCGATTGGTTCAATTGGATCATGCAGTTCATTACCTTGATCAGTTGGGTTTCAATCTCCCCATCCGAAGCAAGCTCTTGGTGTGTCAAGATGTACTTGTCACCCTTAGACAGAGCCTTCTCACTGGGCACTGGCATTGGGATGGAATTGGGAACAATTGGCTGCAGGACAGTGTCTGTTTCCACGCTACCAAATGGCTTATGGTCTACCCATCGCTCCCCACCTGCCGAGTTTGACCTTCTGTGTCGTAGGAGAACAGGTGGTGTGTTCTAAGCAGATTGAGACAGTAATCAACAGAAATTGCAATGAGGTTCCTAATTAGAGGATCCCTTTAAAGAACAGCATTGATTTGAGCGTGAATTCAAGGAGAACAGCTCGCCCAGCGGTGGAATTATCTGCCAGCTCAGATTAAGAGAACAAACCAAACATACATTCTACATTCAAATTGTTGGCTTGCTAGAAGCTGTAGGGCTGGGGAGTTAATGCACAGCTCCTCTGAGAACCACATTAAGCTCGTTTTATGCACCAAAGCATAGTGAAACAAAGGCCGAGTGAATAAGACAATTGCCAAACTTTAAGAGTACAATTTTATTCAATAATCTTTTGATTAGCCAAACTGATTATACTTTGTCAGCTTCTAGTAATAACTAGCTGAGGTTAGTCAACGAGCTGTGATGGGCCAGCAGACTAAGCTTTGTTCTGATGGCGACTGATGCTGCCACATGCAAAGTGTTTCAGAGCACGGCAAAGCAAGCAACACATTTGGAGAAAAAAAGTCTACAGACAGCATCCGTTTACTCAGCTGCACCTTTCCCATTGTACATTTGATATGGTTTGAGAACATGCACATCTCTCCAAGGATTAATAGTCAATGCAAAGCTTCAGAGACAAGTGCAGAAGCAGAGACAAGTGAAGAAAGAGCAAGAGGAAAGTCGTTTCAAGTCTTTACTGTATTGTGAGGATCAGGCTCACTGCACTTGAAAATCACCTTTTTGCTTATTGCGTCTAGACTACAATGCTCTGCTAGCACATAAAGGATGATTCCAACTGTAAGGGTACAGCTTTTCCATTCCTTTACTTCACTGATGACCAAGTGTGTATAAATACACATTGGAAAAAAACAAAATGTGATCACAAGTATATTAGACAGGATGGATAGATGGGCCAAGTGTTGGCAGATGCACTTTCAATGTGGATTTGCAGAAGGGAACTTGTACACCAGGGAGGGATGCTATTAATTTGCTCAGTGCAGATTGAAAAGGAATGGCCTGTCGGCACCAGTTGGTGTAAAGATATTGTTAACAAAGGGTATCAAGAACTGGGAAGTGTTTAGAGAGGGTTATAACTCAGAACGAGCTAGATGGATGGTGATTCAAGGCCTTTAAGACCTATTAAGAAACAGAAGAACGAAGCAAGATGGGATATATATAGTAGATACAGGTGATGTAAATGGTCTATTTCGACGGGCACTGGCCTGTTTCATGCCCTGTCCACCCCACCATCGATGGTCAAACTTTCAGCCTTTCTGCCCCCACACTTTGGAACTCCATCCCAGAGCCCCTTTGCCTCACCCCCTCTATTGTCTTGTTCAAGACCCATCTCAAGTGTTTTCTCTTTGACCGTGTCTTCAGTCATCCTTATACCTCGTGACTCCAGCCCACAGCTCAGTAGAAACCATTGAGAGCGCCCCCCCCCCCGACATGAAGGGTGCTGTATAAATGCTATTTGTTGTTATTTAATTTAGTCTAAATACTGTAGGACTAGAGACAAATTTACAAGCTTACAGCTAGATTGGACATTGGAAGCATTCCCCTGCTCTCACACAGGGTGAAAATTAAAAACATGGAAAAAGTTCATTCTGGGTCAAATGACACCTTTAAATGGGGCTGTGTATCCAACTTGGTGGTGGTTGGGGAGATTAATGATCTTGTGTGAGCTGTTGGAGGAACAGGCTCCGCTTGCTGAGCCTGTTTCTGCTCCAGTAAGCGGCTTGCGTTTAGCTGGTTAACACTGCAGCAGTACAAGCAATGAGCACTTTGGGGTTCTGAATGCTTTGGCCTCAACCAATCCAGCCCAGTGCTCCCTGAGCATAAGCCAGACAGGGTGCCCCAATACATCCCCCCACCTCCCCGCTCAGTACAAATAGGGTGTCTACCCCAAGACTCAGGCAGGAGACCAAATCATTAATTCCAACTTACAAAAAGCAGGAATACAAGTTTCTCCTGGCCTTTAAAAGCAAAGCTAAGATATCCCCAATCATTCGAATAGTTAATAGCAATGGAAACAAATGTATTAGATTCATTGGCAATTGATACAGAAGAGACGTTTTGCTTTCCTGAATTAAAACAAGTTTAGTGGGAATAATCTGGAAAATAAATGATCATTAATTATTTAATAAAACATACCCCCAAATACAATTACACAGCCTGCTTTTGTTTGATCAGTCAGATTGAACTAGATTGGGAATCATGACGAGACTACCCTCTTTACCTTGTGAGCAATTGAGCCAAACACACCAGGACGGTCTCCAATTTGCTGAGTCAGCTGAACTCAACTCGGCAGGTCGACAAACCTCAGTCAATCACAGTCAGCCTCAAAGCTCAGGTTGGGGGGAAAAGAGGTAAGAAAGAGCCCAGATGTGAATACTCTGTGGTAAGTAATAAAGCTAAACGTCTTTCTGTCAAATACCAGAACCTTTTACTCTTTGGCCCCTTCCCCGCACTAATTTCAGAAGAATAAAAGTTTCCGTTACAGCCCATACTGTGCACGCTCTGGGTAGATCGAAGCCTAGCATTTCAGACAGAGCGTCACGGCCCCTCTCACCCGGTTGACAACCGTTCACTAACCCTGAATTGTCCGTCCTGGTCTAGATCAGGTTCTCCTCTAGAGCTGGTGGTTTTGTAGCCACCCGTCTGGCTGGCTGCCTGCCTCCTCATTTGGAAACTGTAGTCCCTACATTGTGGGGTATCCGGCTGTTTACATTTATTCCTACGCGGCACACTACCCTGTTTGCTCGGCTCTGGGATTTTCTGCTCCCATTCGGAGACGCAGGAGGCTACGGAGATGCTGCTGCAGGAGTTAGAGCGCCTGCGTAGTTGTGGCTCAGGTACTGGACAGCGGTAGGTGACGGGGCAGGGAGGGACAGTGTTACCAGGAAACTATTGAAATAGGACAAAAAGTTAAAGAGACAGGAAAAAATTAGACGGCATGCAAAATCAATTGATCCTCCCTACACACAACATAAACAATCAGTTTTAAACAGTGCTCTGACTTTTGAAAAAACGCAACAACAGAACTGCAGCAATCTACATTTAACTGCTCAAATAAGAGAGCGCTCAACCCAAATCTAACACGCTGGTATAGGGATAACTCTTGTTAGATACTTGTCACCCTTTGAAGAATTCCACTTGGTTTTCAAGTTGGGTTTGCACAGGTATAGGTGTTTGTATAACAGCTTTACAGTTTACCTTACCTGACAAATTTTAAATGCACCCATGAAACAATGCGCATTGTGAAAAGAGCACCAACTGTCCTAATGAAATCATTGCTTTCCCTGGATAGCACAGGCCATCTGTCATTCTCTTTGTCAGCTTTATAAAGGTGCGGGATGCAGAGACATGCACAAATAGAACAAGGAGATGTGCGAGGAGACACAGGAGTGGTAAGTAATCTTGTAAAACACTTTTCCTCACATTATGTATGTAAAGTCACCTACAAGAAGATTAATTGAACTGAAATGTGACAATTTACACTAAGCTGTATGCATCTGTGCCTTTATTCCCTGACATTAATAGAATTAGTCAAAACGTGAAATGACTATTTCAACCAGAACAAGTTTTTCTTTAAAGATTTAACAACGTGGAATAAGTGCACTTATATTGTAATATAATAGAATCTTACAGCACAGAAGGAGGCCATTCGGTCCATCGTACCTGTGCCGGCTCTTTGAAAGAGCTACCAACTAGTCCCACTCCCTCGCTCTTACCCCACAGCCATGCAAATTTTTCCTTTTTAATGTTTAATAGAACATTTTAATGGGAGCCTGAATCCCATCTAAATTACGCATCAAATAATATGTGGGTGTGTGAAGTAAGATGTCTCCTCTACCTTGTACACCTACCCTGACTATAACACCATATATTCCACTGCAGTTATCACACACAAAGGCACAAGGGAGAGCGAGAAATGGGATGGAACTGATTCTTCACAATAAATAATTGAAATGGCATTTAAAATTGGCGTTGAAGAAACACAACACTCCAATGCAGCCGTTTTTACACCCTGAAAACCAGGAAACCGCATTGACTCGCCAGCACAGCCAGTCATGCGATGGAGCGCAGATTTCAAGCGATTCCCATGGGTAAGACGGAACAGAACCAGAACATTACATACTGGGACTGGAGGAGGAGATACCGAGCGGACCAGAACCTTCCTGTCCTTCTCTCTCGGGGGCCTCTCCGGGCGGTCGCTTTTGGTCTCAGCGACAATGGCCTTCAACTGTTTCAGCTTTTCATCTTTCACCCAAAGCTTGTTCTGCATCTCCAGCTGTTTGGCTGCAACACGACGTTCCTGCAGGTTTTAAGGGAAGGGGAGGGCAGGGAAGACAATACCACCTTTGTGAAAACTCCTTTACAGAAATACTCATTAAAGTAAGCAATCAAAGCCACGGGCAACAACTACACCAAGATTTTGAGTAAGTCAGTTCGGGAAGATTTACTCACGCATTCCTTCTCCCATTTCATCTTGGTGTCGGTCACCACACCATTCATCCTCTGCTCCATGCGCCGCTTGTCTGACAGCTCTCGCTGCAGCTTCTGGTCTCTCTCGTCCAGCTCTTGCTGCAAATTCCTCTTGTCCTCCTCGTAGATGTTTGTGGTTTTCTGCAGGATCTCGATCTGGGAATCAGAACGGCAAATTAGTTCGGAATCAATCGAGTCCTTTCCCCCTCACCTTGACAGTTTACCGTTAAGCCCAATACATTGTTCCTTCCCCCTCACTCATTGCGAAATCAGATCACGTGCTCGAATGGCTAAAGTAAAATTACAGAGCAGTACTAACAGACGCCTCGGCTGCTTCTGGGAGGCAGAGAATAAAGCATCGCAGACAACTATAAATTAGCCGTCAAAGTGTTCACTGACATGATGTTGGTCACAGGAAATCTTACCTTATAATTTGGGAGATTGTGGCTCTCCACTAATACACAGCATAGGCACATTGTGTCATTTTCTAACCACCATCTTCTCGATTCTGATACACTCTCTTCAGTACCAATGCTCAAGTGGCCATTATTTCTGTGCGAGTATTGACAGGGAGCGTCAGTGGACTATTTGACCATCACAGTTCTCAGCTTGGGGTCACAATGACACCCAGCAAAAAGATTACTGGACATCACTCAGAACGAAGACCAGCTCTATATGGGAAGCAACAATGATCACTGGTGCAGTAGAGATGCTCGGAGTGCTAGGATGAAGGTATATTGTATGGGTAGAGCAAGCAAGGGAAGTTTTGCACCTGGCCCACGCTATAACCAGCCTCAACATCTAAACACACTCATACGTCCTAGCACACGTAATCTACCTCTTGATGAGAGCAACAATGAAAGTACAGCGTACGCAGTAAAACACCAAAGTGACGATTGGAATAGCCGAGCTGGAAGCGATACAGTACGCTACTCACACAAACGGTAATAAAAGAATTACCTTGTATTCTAAGGTTTTGATTTTTTTGTCTTGTCGCTCCATATCAGACTTCTGGCCGTTTATAATACGATCTCTGTCCAGCAGTTTCCCTTGCTGCTCGTGGATGTAGCTCTCCTTTGCCACCAAATTGCCATCCCAGTCCTGCAGCATTACTTTGATAGCATTCGCTGAGAGCAACAGTTTACGCATTAGTCATTCACTTCACTCTGCTCTCTGGGACACTACCCTGCGTTAGGGGTGCTATATAAATGCAAGTTATCGTTTACAGTAAATCCGATGTGAAAGGCGCTGTATCAAACACTAGGATCATTATAGCTGAATATTTAAAAGCAACTATATTAAGTTAAACACTGAAGGCAAGTTGAGAGAGTGTTAATCCCAGTCTCAGAAACAGTAAATTGCTGTTAATTTTAAGTAATTTATTGCTCACCTTAAGTTGGAGGGGGGGGGGAAAGAGAGAGAGAAACAAGATATTAGTGGTAGGACAGGCCTCTCAGAATGCCCATTTAAACATTAGACCACTTACATTCTACCTCACATCATTAAGCAGCAATTAAATGAGGGAATAATGAATGTTATCCCAACACCAGAGACACCAAGTTATAGCTGGGCTTGTGAATGGGCAATTGCACCCAGCCAGACACTCGCTATTGAGGTTCGTACATGAATAACAGCCAATAATAATAATAATCCTTGCATTTGATATAGCGCTTTTCACGTCGGGAGGACGTCCCAAAGCGCTTCACAGAACACACTGTAAAGTGAATTGACTGTATATTTGTGGGCGAACGCAGCAGCCAATTGCGCACAGCAATGTCCCACAAACAGTCGTGGATTGAAAATGACCAATTTATTATTGTTTGTGGTTTTTGGAGGGATTATCCAAAAGTGAGTGATGGACAAGCATCTGCACATCATGAGAAGAATCAAAACAGTTTAAGTTGAAGCAAATCGGAGAGGGAAAAAAAATGTTAAGGCCCTTTAGATTTAACTAACCTCAATGGGAAACTAAAGTTGTCTTTTCATTTGTAAAATACATTGGGACTCGCAGTGCACTAAATCCTTATGGCTGGCATCCAGTTCAGCTGGAGGGAATGCTAGGACTAATTAGTTCACTAGACACCAGTGGAGCCATGAAGCAAGTCAGCCCGGCTCATTCAAATGAAGCTGTTTCAGCGATTGCAAGGTAATACGATTTCAGGATATTAAAAAATCTTACAGATATTGAGTCTCATTTGCTAGCAGGAAGTAACTTACCAGTTCGGTTCATCTCATCAGTTAACTCGTCACGTATTCTATGACGCTGTTCCAAGCACTCTATAAGCCGTGGGAAGGTACAGTCATCACTGACGTCGGTTAGTTCAACTGAAGGCAACGGTGGGAAGCTTTGCAGGAGAATTTCCACAACAGATGGGTCCACTGTAAATAGGCAAAAAGTAGCAAGCTCAAGTTGGATGCTAATCCTTCCCCCTTGTTAGCGCTGCCAGCAGCAAAACAGCTGCTAGTGCCATTTTTAAAGGTCACTACTCCTATCCCTCCCCCTCCAACATGAATGTGTTAACACTTACTGGTATTGTACAAAGTTAATTAAAATAACATTTCTTCCTAAAAGCAAAGTAAATCCACATGGCCTTCCAAAAATGACTAATTGTCTTTCTTTCAGGCTGCCATCCGAGTCCTGCAGCATTGCTCTGATAGCATTCGCTGAGAGCAAAAGTTCAAACTGCTCCCCACAATCTGTGATCAAATCATTCTTGCAGGAGTAAACACAGTCAGTGGACTTTTGCTGGCATACATGTGAAACAATGATTCTTGAGCCATTTAATTTCCAGGCTTGAAAAGGCGAGCTAAGATGTCCATAGAGAATCAGTCTCTTTTGAACAGATTATAGATAGGCAATTGCTGGTGTGACAATCTGATGAAATCCCCATTCAATTAAAATGTACAAAATATGAGCCATTGATTTGTAAGCAAAAGGCAAGCAAGAATGCAAGTTTCCCCCCCACTGAGTAACTGGGAAACATCCCGCACTGGGATTCGTATGACACATTGATTTGGACTTGGAATTCCATACAGCAGATTAATAACAATCTATAACGAGAAATGGATTATGCATTTTATGCTCGGACGAGTTTATTGTAATAATGATGATTCTCTGAAAGAGGTTTCTCTACAGTGCACAGATAGATAAACTCATTATTTTCATTTAATGGGGAGGAGGTAATGAGGGAGACACGGCGACGCACCCCTGCAAACTCAGTAACAAGATTTGATTGCTTTCTGGCGGTAATGTACCTCCATTGATGGGACCACCTCGCATTTCCAATTTTCTGGTCAGTTCCTCCTTGAAAGCCTGGTTCCTGTACCTCCGGCCTGGAGTAAGGCCACAGATTGGCTTGTCCACTGGCCGGGCCACTTCCACTTCTTGAGTCATTTCAGCGAACCTCATGACCAGCTGCAGTACAGAGAACAAGTTCGAAGAAGAAGTAGAATTATTTCACTCACAATCTTGACACATTTGAGCCGTCAGCAAAATGTTCGAAAAGATCCCTCGATGGCACAGCTGAATAAAGGTCACAACCGCCACAGGGCAGAAAGTCACAGTCTTACATTGCAATCTGTGCTGGGGTTACTGATCTCAGGCAAACAACAGTAAAATAAGCAACATTTTGAGGAACTGGAAATTAATAATAAACCTCGACTTCCTTAAATGGAAAATTACGAAAACATTTCCGAGTACTGAACTTTCATTTTAACTGTACCCGGCGGGTTTATTTTTGAAGAGTCCACTTTGCTCCTGTGTGGTATTCAGAATGGGGGAAAGTTTAAAATCAAAACCGCTGAATTCCCAAGAGCACGAATTTGACTTACCAGAGTTTCCTCATAATCATCCGCTTTGGGATTCACGCACACAATCATCCGAACCTTCCCTTCGCCGTCAAAGTAATTTTTAAAGAGATGAGTCAGCTTGGAGTCTCTGTACGGAACCATCTGAAACACACCAGTCAAATAAAAACATAGGGTACGTTAAACCCAATTTTCCCCTGTAGACGGGTGCTCAAAGTTGAGAAACGAAACTTTCAACACACCCACACAAAACATTACCTTATTGGTTCCATACATTTGGTTCTCTCTCAGTACTTCAATACACGTCCTTAGAGTCATCAAGGACTGATTAATGTTACCTGCAAAAGAGTTGAAACACATGGAATTTACTTTATGCACAATATTTCAAAACAGTTTAATAGGACTTGGAATTGTCATTATGTTTATTTTTGATACATACATATTTCAAGAAAATGCAGACTTACAAAGATGAATTAATTAAATTAATCATTTACAAGCTTTTATGAGCCAAATATTTTCAGTGAGAGAACTGAAACATCCTGCCCACCACTCATTTCAGGAAACAATCGCAGCCTCCAATGTAAGAGACAGCAAAGAGGAGTTATCTTTGACCTCTAACTGACATACCTACGCTTCTCCAGTACTCCACTGATCCAAGGCAGATTAGACTGAAGCCAATAATGGTGGGCCAATAATGCAAAGCAGATCACAGGCAAGCTGAAAAATCTCCAAAATACAGCATACTGTAGCTTGCGTAGAGTTAGGCAATATTAAAACTAAGCTTACTAAAGTCCTGCAGTAATGGCAAAACATGTGAGGCACCAGAGAAATTAAGCCATTTGAAAATACACATGTCATAGGCTGATGAAGCCAGCCGGTACTCTCCTAAATGTGCTTTTAATAACATTTAGCCGATGACGTGTGTGTTTAGTAATTTGACATCTCAAAGCATTTCACAGGATATATGGTAAAGTGAATTGACTGTATTTTGTGGGAATGTTTCCAACATTCAACACAAACTTTGCAAATGACAATTTCTCAGTTTGCTGACTACGTCAATTATCGAATCGTATAAAAACTAAAACATATCCAAGATGGACCAGTGCAAGTTAGCTGGAGGGAAAGGTTGCTGAGAACACTGTGTAAGTGTACGTATCTGAGAACCCTTACCAGCCTCTCGCAGCCGGCTGCCTTCAGCTTTGGTTCGGGTGGTTCTCTCACTTCCTGCCAAATCCACCAGGGACAACTGGCTTACTGTAATCTGGTCCTTTTCCTGGAAGAGAAAAGAGAAATGTAGAAACAACTTTATCCATTGAAATTTATTGTGGAAACAGAAATACAACCAGTGCAGATACCTGCAAAATGGTACTTTTACAATATTCAAAATGGGAAGCAAAGCAGCCACTAAGAACTGAATGCAATAATAAGAGTATGGGCAGTCTCAGAGGAAATATTTGTGAATTATTACAGTACAACAACAACTTGCATTTATATAGCGCCTTTCATTAGTGTCTGGGAGCAGTTAACCTTAGAACCATAGCAAAGGGCAGTAGTCTGCCTCAGGTCCACAACTGATTCAGCTATTATCAATATTGACTACACAATATTGCCCAATGTACTCATCATTCTTGGGTGACATATGTGAGGTTGATCAGATCACAATGTATGAGCGAGTGCATGGACTCAAAAGGTCAAACTAACTCAATGCACTTCTCGTGCTTGGTTCAAAATGGTATTCAAGTTGCTTGCATTGCTAATCAATGACCTCCAAACAAACTTCTAACTCACAAATGATGGCTGACATCTTAGCTTCTTCCACAGTCATTTACCTGGAAAACATTATCTCCATCTGCATCTAACGGCGCCTGGGCCAATTTGATGTTAAAAACACTATGGGAGCGGCTGGATTCTCGATTAAGTGTGGTGTTAGCGATACGCCGTTTCTTCTGGCCTGCAATAAAATACAAACATAAACACACTCAAGGTTAGAGGTGCTCAGAAACCAACTTGCATGCAGATGAACACACACACACAGGAATGTCACACTTAATTCAACTTTCTCACCTTTCCAAAAGACTTCAAAAGCTTCTTCTGTTGACTTCACTTCCACCTCTGTACATCCAGCCACGTACATATTATGGTGAGAATCTTCCCGAAGAATTCTAGACTGTGGCGGTCTGTGAGCGAACAACAAGTTAGGTTTCCTTCACAAACAAAGCAAGGAAAGATTTTTTTTAATTTTATATAAAAACTAGCAGCCCTGAACCTCAAGTCTCATCACATCTTACCTCTAGACAGGGTGGGGATCAGACGGATTACTGGAATCCATTCATAAAGCATCCAAGCAAACCATACACTCTTAAAATCTCCTCACTCATTATTCCCTGTTAAATTAACACAGCAGCCAAAATACCATTTATTGTAGCCTTTTAGTAGCTTCATTGCTATCCGTGAAAAATCAAAATTCAACCGATACTCCAGTTAATTAGTTTAGCTGCTATTTCAAATTGGACAATTTACTTAAAATATTAAAAAAACAGCCTTTTAAGTACTTTCCATGAGGACATTCAGATTTTTTTCCCGAACAACAAATGAAAATGTTAAGCCCCACTTATTTAGAAATAACCCTACACATCAATACAATTTTACTATCTCGCAATGTACAAATTTGTAGCTGGTAACAACAGATGATTAAAATGATTAGTAATCTACCTCAAAACAAAGCCTCAAAGATCTTATGATTAATTCATTGCATTTTAAGAGGGATAATCATGCAATAGCATTAGTTGGTATCATATTAAGTTTGTAAAGATGCGTGCAATCTATCAATTTTAAAAGCAGTTTGAAAAATATGCAGCACACGACAGGTTAAACCAGGGTAATTTCTTAGATTTATGTCAGAAACAAGATTAAGGGCATTGTGACCAGCAAATCCCATTCTAGTCAAAACAGAACTGGATGGCGTCCACAAATTTTATATGCGGGAGCAATTTTAATTTACTCAAGAGAGTCAATCTACTCTGCATTTAAATACAGCCCCACATTATTCTAAGTCTCAATTGTGCACGAATCTCAACAACACTCCAGAAGGCCAACAGGAGATAATAGGGTGGAAAAAAGTGTTTGAATGAGCAAATAGTGTGAATAGTGTGAATGCTGGAAAAAGCACCTCGTGGTGTAGGAAGGCATGTACAAGGAACTTTTAATACAGGACAAGCCAAGTGAACAACACTCTGAACCCAGCTTCCCAGAACGAGACAATCTCCTTACACTGTGAGGTACTTGTCTCATTCACAATGCTTTTGATGATTTGCTTCATGGGATCGAGAACTTCATTTTTTTTTCAGCATCTTTTGAATTGCGGGTCTTATTGACCCAGATCAACTCATCTCATTACATCCATTGCTAACCCCACTGACAGATTAATTCAATGCGACTCTGGCAAAAGGAAGTGAATTGTCAAAGAAAATCAACTTGTCAAGTCAACTCTAGTTTGATGCTATAAACACTGCAAATTTAAACCATTCAAACTAAATGAAACCATCTTTTGGGTGGATGTTTAGCCTTTTTGTAACTCCCTAGAGCGCCCACCACTGCAGACACATGGCAAGCTCCATGACTGAACACGCAGCCATCAATCAACCTTAATGTTGTCAGTCTATCTGTACTTTATGAGGCTTAACTGACTGTTGTTAAATTGATGATGAAGTTTACTTTCAAAATAGATAAATGCTGACGGTAAACTATGCTGAGAGTTTGAAGGATTTGTAAGCAGTAATGTGGAAAATACCTCTGCCTTTCTCTCTCCCATTGCTGAAACTGAGACAGAGGTTTTAAGTCTGTAAAGCTCTAAACTTTCTAAAACACAAAAGATATCTCAACAGTTCCAATAATATACCAAAGACATAAACATTCATGAAAAGTTAAGATACCCGATAAAATCTAATGCCAGACCTTCCGCTGGTCAGCAAGTCCGCTGACTTTGGCGATGTGCACCTAACTTCACGCCAAGGTCAGCAAGTCACCAACCAACAGAAAATGCCACCAACAGTTTCCTCGGCTTGCTGCATCTTCAGTCAGTCACTGTTGCCAATTCCCAGTTAAAATGTACTGAATAAACAAAGCTCCAAATTGTTTTTTTTTTGGTGGGGGAAGAGAATGGAACACACACGACCAAGCATATGGTCATTTTTTGTACGACTTCAACTGAGCCATACAAAAATTACCTGGAGTCCCAGACAGAATATTCAACAGATCGCTCACATGTACAAAAACCTTTTGCATTTTAGGAAATCCAGAGCTCTGTGAATTGTTAAAACCTCAGTTTCAACAAAGGGATTTGTGCTTATAGAGAGTTCCACCTGGTATTATCAGTACCAGGTCCGATATATTTGAAGAAGTGATAAAGCCATTGCTGTTTCACTGGCAGAATGGGTGCTATAATGTTATAAAGCTAAGCAGCTTCTACTTTCAAGCATTTGCTATACTAGTGCAGCATTCTATGCAAAAGCTAAGAGAAAGCTTCTAGCCATGCTTAACAAAGCATAACTAGGAATGGGGTACATTGACAAGGAATGCGGATTATTGCTGAGGTTACAAAATGCTGACAAAATGGTTACTGCACTAACTAGTTAGACAGACATATAGGGGACATACATGAACTCAGGGTTCCGCACAGGAGTACCGCAACTGTTCCACCTAACGAAGAAATATGGTAACAGTTATAAAAATCCAGTATAAAGTTCAGTTTGCTTATGCTAGAACTATTGAAGATATAATTGTTATTGAATTTCTTTTTCTCAATCCTGAAAAAAATGCAGAGTAATGTCAAAACACAAGCTGCAATTTATTTAGCAAAATAGTGTAGATTAAATACACTTCAAATCCAAAATCCACATATTGCTAATGTGAGCCTTGTGTAGGGAGGTGGCAAGATAAAGATTATTTAACAACTCGGACACATCATCCCCAAACCGAGCAGGAATGAGTCAGGAATGCCAACTAATGTTCTTCATCCACTGAGGGATAGAGAACTATTATGTATAATCACGGTATGGCAGATACTTTGAATAGATTTTTCACTTCTGAATTCACAATGCCTGAAGACAAATTCTTAATGATGATGGCCATGAAATCTATAACATGTGTGAAGTTATCAAAAGAAATTTGAAGATTATGTATCTACAAGACTTGAGCCAGATTGAAATCCTTAAGGAATTGAAGGAAGTACTGTGACTGGCAAAGTTCTCAGCTGAATTTTGTTACAGGCTGTATATTTAGTGGGACAAAGTACAGCAGATCCGAGGAAACAAACATTACCCCAACATTCAAAAAGGCGCAAGAAACAGACCAGGAAATTACTGGACACTTGCCTAACATTTATAGAGGAATTCATAGACAAATTTCATGAAGTAATCTTTGATCACCAAAGGCTGGCTGGCATGTTTACACTCAGTACATAATGGCCTCAAACCTGGTAGGAGTTTGTGCTAAATGGCAAGGTTTGTCAGGGATAAGTAATAAATGGAGGTTCCACAAGGATCTGTTTTGTGTCGCCTACTCTTCACACTGCTCAGGAACAATCCAGAGCTGCATAAGAAAATATGCCAAAGTATCAAAGCCACGTGGCCAGGTGACAAAGTAGAAAGGGGGGAGAGGGAGGATTAGTAATAGTCAGAGGGATCTGAAACAATTAAGTAGATGCACTGAGTCGTCTCAGATGGATTTCACTCTGGACCAATGTAAGGTAATGCCTTCAGGAAAAGGAAAATAACAAACATATGTATTCCATGGAAGGATGCCTAGATGTAGATAAGGAGAAGATTTGGGCGTGAGCATTGATCAAACTATGAAAGTTTGGAGCCAGTTTGAAGGAGCTGCCAACAAAACCAGTCAAGTTCTGGGAAGCATTTGGACTACAAGTCACAATAAGTTATTTTAACATTGCACAGATCACTGGTGAGGGCAATTCTGAAAAATGGTGTGCAGATCTGGTCACTATGCCTCAAAAATCCACATAAAAACATTGGAAAGGGATCAGAGGGTATTAATAATAATGATTCCATGCTGCAAGGAACCGGGTTACACAGAGGCAAAGAACATTGCTGTAAATTGAAAATTACATTACATTTTCATTCCCAGAAAGACAGCCTCTCACTTTCAGCAAAAGGTAAAAAGCAGGTCATGTGATTGATTTAACAGTGAAGCAATATTTTTAACATTGAACAGAAGAATAAATAGAGAAAGATGAGTACCACGCTTACGAACTGCTTAAGAAAATAAGACTTTCAATATAGAAAAACACACTGATCTCCCTCAATACTGAACGGTAAAACTAAATGTACATTCCAAGCTTCTAGGTTCACAGAAGTGGTTTTCTACGATTAATTAATTTGACCTGAAGTTGCTGACTTCTCTCAGTTACTCATTTTCCCTCTCTCTATCACCATGAACTTACTTACTAAACAATTACTCAAGATGTCAGAGGTAACAAACACTTTAATATAAAGTGCTTCATGTCTATTCCCCACACGTTCCTGATTGCCTTTGTAATATTTTCACTAACTAAAAAAGCTAAGTTATTTGCTCGCAGATTCCAAATTCATAAAAAGGATTTTTCTTTAAAAAAATTAAAAATTAGATTTAAAAATCACATACAGTAATGAGTCCTGGAAAATACACAGCACGATAATTTGCATAGGAAAACCAATGATGGATTAACAGTCTGGAGCTTGACAATTTGCGGTAAATGTGATCAGAACCAAATGGGATTCCAACAAAGTCACATGCAAAACATTAATCTGAGTAGCTCATTGACCTTTGTTAATGTAGATTTTCAACATCTAGTTTCTTTACATCATCAACCACAAACTCACAGAAACCAGGTGTCTAATACACATGGAAACCTGGACACTTACATAGAAATTGTGATGCTTAAGAGTACCCAAGCCAGGTAGAGTTCCACATATGCATCTCACCTACGCATAGAAATTTCCCTTTGTCTAGAATGGAGTGGACTCTTGGAACAAACAGGCATTACACTTTACAGTAAAGTTCTGTGAAGCAATTCAAGACATTGGCGACATCGTATTGAGATGATTTTCTGAGTGCAAAGACTACTATGATATTATCTGACAGTATCTTATAAAAGCCTTACATATGACCTACTTTGGTTTGATTGAATCCTGGGGCATTTCATCCAGAAGGTCGTAAACATAATTGTTGTATATTTCAATGTAGGAAACAAACAGACTGTAGACACTGTCCTCATCCACTTCTTCGGCTTTACAGTGCTCAGGTACTGTGATCATATCAGCAAACTCTGGATCAAATCTATGCCTGTGAAGAGCATGGCCAATAGAATTAACAGGCAATGCACACCTTGTACAAATTAAAATGTAATTAACATATGTTCCAGAAATCTATATATACACAGAATAAAGTTGAATATTGAGCCAATGCAATTCACCCCCCAAACAGCTTCCATTTGTATGGGATCCCAATCCCGTCACATCCAAAACATTAATCTTTGAGATGCTTGTTGAACTTTGTTGATGTAGATTTTCAACAACCAGTTTCTTTACATCTTTCACTACATAAACTCACAGAAGCAAAATATTCAGTGCAAAACATTCCATTGTTAAACTGAGGAGTAGCGTTTTGGCACAATTCTATATCCCATCATAAAGCCCACTCTCGGATTCCTCACACGTTCTCTACCAATCTTGCTTTATGACTTACTTGGAGGATGGAGTTTTTGGAAAGACAGATTGGGCATCTCTCTTCTGACGCTCCAATAGAGCATCAACATCCGACTGCACATCCATGCTGTTCCTGTCATCTGGCTTGAAAACCTACAGCACACAATTCAAAACTATTTAAAGTTACCACAAACTTGAATAAGTGCAATATCATTGATACATCAAACTAGGCAATAAAACAGAGGTACAGTAATGCTGCTCAAAAATTATCTTTAGATACAAGGCTTTCAATTTTTTAAAACTGTCGTCTTAAAGTGGTTTATTATAACTTTGCCGTTTGCAGCTGTGAAATCTGCTATAACCACTCACAGATAATTCTCCTTTCTGATAAGCTTTACAAATCTGTATTATAACACAAGTAACTCACATATCGCTTTGCCTGGAATGGTCCAATACTGGAAAATATCATGTCCAAGCACCGAGGTAGGAGGCCTCCATCTCCAGGAGATCCAGTCATGGTGTGTGTCTTTCCACTCCCCGTAACACCATACGTAAATAGCAAGCCTGTCAGAAACAGCAGACTTCCATTATGGCTACTCTTAACATTTCATCATGACCTCTTTTTAAAGAAAACTCTCCAGCTAAACATTCATATGCTTTATTTGTTAGCCATTTACTGTACAAAAATGTCTATCTAACTGACTACATTCAGGTTACATGACACCGGCTGGGTGTGACATTACACATCCAGTGAACTAACTACTTCAATACATCATGGAATATGTTAAAAGGGTATTTTCCTCCATCCAAAATCAAACTCGTTTCACATTGCACTTAAAAACTGAACTTTTAAGATTGTTAATCTACAAGTATGGAGCCAACGATTTCAAGGTACAGTGATGGAGAGGTTTCAAGGACGCAGACTCTACAATTATTCATTGTATTAAAAAATAACTACCATACAATTGCAGCTTCCCAGTGCTCCTGAAGTCACTTCACTAGCTTATTCACTCAGCTGTACCATTGAATTTCAAAGGTCTGAAATCTGTTGCAGTGCAAGTGCTGCATTCTCAAACTAGGTGACATCCGCCCACCCACCAGTTACCAGAACATTAAACTCTGCAAGTTTAACTTCAGGAAATCTGGATTTAAGATGTAAATAGTTGACTAGGGTATAGATGTTGGAATGATCTAAACTGCAAGAAATCTACCGAGTTAGATATATCTGATACGATATCTCGAATGTTCATACCATTTTTGCCATGAACCAGATCTTCCACAAGTGGCTTGGCAACAACGTCAAATAGCTCCTTCTGTGTTGTAAAGAAACCAAATACTTCTTTGAAGGAATACTGCATCTAAAAATCCAAGAAAGAGTCAATGTTAATATACGGCTTCAGACATTCTACAAACAATTGCATTGTGTAGCTCCGTTCATTGACATTACCTCTTTGAACTCCCCATTCCTATTGACTTTAATTCCATCAGGAGGATGAAGTTGTATTATGGCCCTGTTGATAACTTCAATACAGCATTCCTTATCACTTGGGTTCAGGGGTCTGACACGGCAATAAACCTGTGGAACCAACGAGAATGTCAAGAATGAATCTTACCATGAAAAACAAACTGCGGTACTACATGAACAAATTTCTATCGCTGCCATGCAAATGAAAGACCTGTGGTCAATGGCAGATTAAATAGCCTCCAAGCCAGGCTTGATCATGGTTAGAAATGATAGCGCTTTGGGATACGACCTGCGTGAGGGGCGCTATATAAATGCAAGTTGTTGATAACCTTCAGCGTTGTATCGATCTACCTTCAAACAACAACCTTAAATCAAATTAAGCTTTTTTCAGTGCCGAAAAATGCCAGGATCGGCATTGTAATTGTTTGAATCCCACTAATAGAAGACAGCGAATACACTATCTTCTGATCGCGGGATTCAAACTGAGTCAAAGTTGATCTCTCTGGTACCTGAAGACCAGCAAGGGCAGTGAGGCGGGGGAGCGCGATAAGAGTTTGTTGGGCCAGCAGGAGTCCACACGCAATTTTCAAAAAAGATTTAATGTGGTGCCAGAGATTTACTGTGAATTGTGTTGCTTTTCTGACACTTACACCAACTGGGTCTGTAAGATTGTTGTTTGATGGCTTCTTCAGTGGTCTCCTTGTTCTGTTACGCCTGTGTAAGAATTTAAAATTGATTAAATGGTCGTAACTATTTCTGGTTTAGGTACCAATTATTGTTATATCCAGATAGAGAAATAAGAACAAAGCATGTAGTCTGAAGTACATGTGCATTATTTTAGTCAAACATAAAATAGAACCTTAGCTTTCCACATTGAGTTTACTTTGCAAAAATATGAATCTTTAGGAAATATCACAAATAATTCCTAAATGCATAATAAAGAATACTCATAGAACCTCTCAGGTAACATCAGCCAAGAACAGAACTTAAACATTTTGTCATTGTAATTGGAAGACAATCATTTTATTTCACAATGGTTGAAGGCAATACCAGTTCTGAAGTTGTCTAAATCTAAACTAGACTAAAGTTTGACCAATTTAACAACACCATTCATAAATCCTAGAAATGCATCATATCCTTGAAAAAACACTCCAGCCAGCCTATTTCATATTAGACACAGAACTCAATTTGTGCTGAAAAACAAAACCATTTTTCATACTTTATATACTTCAAAACACCAGATCCATGGAAGCAACAGTTATTCTTAGGTCACAGCACAATCTGGCACAAACTACAGGACGACTCGACGTGCTGACTTTGCTAAGTCTTTTAAAATAAGACACCAATCTTATCTCACACTTCGAGGGAAAATAGATTATAACAACAGGCACCATCTGTCCTGTATCTTGGAATTTATGATGGTGTAAGAGAACATGCCAATCCACTCAACCCATTCCCTCCCGTTATTACATCAGCTAAACTTACATTCGATTTTGAACAGCTTTAAACAGCATGAGTTTAGCTGATGTATTATGGCACAATATGGCATCAGTAATATTTCTCGCACTACGCCAATCAACAAATCTAATTTTATAACCATCGTAGTGGGGGAAAATGGCAATCACCTTCACTAGTTATGATTAAAAAACACTTGAACTGATTTTCTGAAATGCTAATTCAAGGATCATAAATACAAGATGACACATTCATGCATGAAGGGATAAATGTCTCCGCTCGCCAGGCTGACTGTAATCCAATCACAAGTGGGTAGAGCAGTTACTGATTCTGACTGGAACACTTGCATGGCTGCATTAGAGAATTTTAAAATAATTTAGCACTCCAAAAATTGTGGATTAAAATCACTTATTTTAAAATCAATTGCATGAGAAAATTACATCTATCCTGTATTTCATCAGTTACAGCATTATATTTTATGCTTTTTTAAAAAACATAATGGTGAATTAGGAATGCTAGCTCTCGACAAGTTAAGTGGCTCGTTCATACTAGAATGTTTTGAGTTCGGCCAGAATACTTGTCCTTGAACCATCTTAACCCATCACTACTTCAGTTAAAATATGATAATATTCAGTCTATGTACAGCCTTTAAACTCAAATGAAGTGTGTAGATTAGGTATTCGTACTGTACATCAGAAAATGTTACATTATCTTTCTAGTGCAATATCCCCCCCACTCAGGACAAACGTGTCTCATGAATTAATTATATTAGGACTGTGACCATGATAGATTATATTAACACCTTTCTTACAAATTATAGTCAATTCACTTTGCAGTATATTCTGTGAAGCACTTTGAGATTTCTCGAAGACTGGGTAAGGTGCTATATCAAATGCAAGGATTATTATTATTAAGATACATATATAGTAATACTAATTCTAGGAAATGAAATCTGATTGGGCTTCATTAACTTCTCGATCACTGAAAGTTATGTTTAGCAAATAAAATTAAAACAACCACCCAATAGATTACAAGATCTTAGATACTTTTCTTCTGGATAAATTAATTGAGGGGTTTAGAGTGCATTGTCAATATTATCTAAAAAATGGTGCACAAGTGTCAATGATATTACAAATCAAATGTAAAAGTCCATCTTATGATTAATATTCTAGGAAACAAAAACTAACCAGAAACCTGAACAGACACCAGGATCCACCAACTTCAAAGTAAACATTAAAAAAATCACTTCTAATCAGTAGCCTAGAAAAGGAAACTGAATGAACAATGGAACAGACACCAATGGGCAAAAAATCCTCAGCAATGATTAGAACCATTCACAGTTTAGTTTCTACTTTAGTTTCTTGGATTGTTTGAGTTACAGAGGGGGGGGTGGGGGAAAAGAGAGCGAGAGACAAAACAAAAATCATCAGAATATTTTCAAATTGCTTAAACGTCAATTACAATTAAAATAATTTTGAAAGTAGCAGTGTAACAATTCTTCGCAGTTCACAACATCCCCTCCTTTTTAATTGCTTATTTACAGCATCTCAAATGTACGCAGGGAAAGGGGAGGTTAGAATGTGGAGCTCCTTTTACAGAGAGATTCTGGAATGTGGGAATGCGTTGCCGAAACCGGCTGTTAATGGCGAGTCCATATCAGCATTCAAAGGGCTATTGGATAAACACTTGAGGAATAATGCACAGGGTTATTGAGTAATACAAAGGAATGCGACTGGATAGCTCCAGTGGAGAAGCTGGACTCCTGTGGTGTGTCTTACTGTACATTTTCTATGAGTCAAGTACAGTATTCTCGTGGGATTGTAGCTGAGCTCCATGCGTTCAAGGTTTGCAATTCACCTACTGTTTATGCGACGTGATGGATATCATAAACCTGGAGAAGAATCAATCCACAAAAAAGCAACAGTTTATTAGCACAGATGCTAATCTGAAAATAAAAGGAAGTGTGGTCTTTTGGTCTGAAATATAAAACAATACAACGGAACTGACTGCTCAGGCACTCTAGAACACACTCATATTATGAAAATACACACATACCCATGAACAATGCTGTACAACACAAGTCCATGATGCAATTACAAGTAAAGCCACTCAAACACATGGTATTAAAACTGGAATGTAGCTTCTGTCAAGGCCAGGGTTTTAAAATGTAGACAAATTTCAGCTCTGCATGCATGCAACCTGATCCAGTGCTCAAGCACACATCAGAAAGATGAAACACAATAGTCCTTTCTGCCCATTTGGCCTTTCTGCTAATGATAAACGGCTTCTCCTCTAGCCCGTCTCGTGCAGTGTTCCTCAGGGCTCTGTCCTTGGTCCCCTCCTCTTCAATATCTATATGCTCCCTCTTGGTGACATCATCCACAGACACGAGGTCAACTTCCACATGTATGTGGATGATACCCAATCCTACCTCTCTGCGTCCACCCTTGACTCCAGGACCCACTGCTGTTCTGACAGATGAGAGCAAACTTTCTTCAGTTGAACGTCAACAAGATCGAAGCTCTCCTGATTGGCTCCCGTCAGCGCGTCCTCATCTCAGGCGCTGACAGCATCACCATCCATGGTTGCACACTCCTCTTTGCTAAGTCAGTCTGGAACATTGGGGTCTTGTTTGACTCTCAACTATAGTTTCTACCCCACATCTGTGCCATGACCCGCTTTGCATTCCCCACCTCTGCAACATTGCCCGGCTCTTTCTCACACCGCAGTTCACCGAAACCCTCATACATGCCTTCATTACATCAACAACAAGATTACATTTGTATAGCGCCTTTTACGTCGGGAGGACGTCCCAAGGCGTTGGACAGAGTACAGCATTTCAGACCTGAGCTGGGGTTCGGGGGAAAGGGAGGGGAGGGGGGGTGGTCGATGGCATGGTCGAAGAGGAGGATCTTGAGGTGGACTTGAAGGAGGCGGCGAGGCGGAGTGACTGGGGGGGTGGAATTCCAGAGGTTGGGGGCAGAATGGCTGAAGGCTCTTCCGCCAATGGTGGGGCAAGTAGGTCGGACGACATGGAGCAGGCCAGCTGAGAGGAGGGAATGGGCGGGTTGGTAGGGGGTTAAGAGGTCGCAGAGGTAAGGTGGGGCAAGGCCATGGAGGGCTTTGTATGTGAGGACCAGGATCTTGAACTGGATTCTCTGAAGGATAGGGAGCCAGTGGAGTCGGGCGAGAGTGGGGGAGATGGGGTCACAGAGTTTGGTGCGGGAGTGGGCATTTGCATAGTCGAGCCTGGAGGCGATGATGCCATGAACAAGAGTTTCAGCGGCCTGAGTGGCGAAGTCAAGCGATGTTACGGAGGTGAGGGAAGGCAGAGCAGGTCGTGGCTTGAATGTGGGGGAGAAAAGATAGTCGAGGATTGATCAAGACACCCAGGTTCCTGACTGGCTGGTGAGTTGTATTGTGCAACCATGGAGGTTGATGTTGCCAGAGCCTGAGGTGCTGAGGCGCTGGTGTGAGCCAATCAGGAGGGCCTCAGTCTTGTTCACATTCAACTGTAGGAAATTAGTCCTCATCCAGGATTTGATGTCAAGATTCCGACTATGCAAACTCACTGCTTGTCGGCCTCCCCAACTCCTCCCTCCATAGGCTGCAGATCATCCAGAACTGTGTCCTCTCCCGCACTAAGCTCAGTGACCCTATCACCCCCATCCTTGCCCAACTCCACTGGCTTCCCATCACACAAAGGATACAGTTCAAGATGCTGGTCCTCACCTTCAAAGCCCTCCACGGTCTTGCTCCCCCCGACCACCTAACCCCTACCATCTTGTTCGCTCCCTCCGCTCAGCAGGCTCTGGCCTGCTTCACATTCCCCGCCCTGCTCGCCCCACTATTGGCAGGCGGACCTTCTGCCACTCTGCACCCACCCTCTGGAACTCCATCCCACAGTCCCTCCATCTCACCCCCTCCCTCGCCACCTTGAAGACCCACCTCAAGACCCTCCTCTTCGACCATGCTTTCGATCTCCCTGCTTCCCCCCCCCCTTGCCCTCAACCCTCCCACACCCCGACCCCCAGCTCGGGTCCGAAACTCTGTTTGTCCAGCGCCTTGGGGGGTCCTGCCGACACGAAAGGCACTTTACAAATGTAATTTTGTGGTTGTTGTTGTTGATGATGACACTGCTTTCGTCAGAACAGGCCACCAAAACAGGTGGCGTAGCAGGCCTGTGGTTCTGGTAGCAATGCAAAACCAAAACAGCTCACCGGGGAGGGAGCTGCCACTCTGCGCTGGTTTATTGCTGCCTTTTTTTAATGGAACTCCTCCAGGATTTCAGAAAGCCAAGAGTGTCAGCAATTAATTGTTAGTAAAACACCTTTGGGCGCGAAAGCATCAAGCTGGAAACACGATTATGGTCAGATTATGCTCACAAGTTAAATACCACACCCCACCCCGAAAAAAATATGCTCAGTTTACATAATCACTTTCAAATAAACAAGCAGATGTGTACTGTTTATTCCATGGCCATATTCTTAAATGAAGGGTCTTTATTCACAAATGTCAAAAGGAACCACACATTCTCCAGCTCTTTGCTGCACTGTGTACTCTATCGCTGTGTATTATATATTTTAATCAGCTACAGGATACGATAAAATACCGCCCCCCCCCCTCCCCCTCCAAAAAAAACAATATTACGACACTTTCTTTTAAAAAGAAGGTACAGGTCCCACATGGAGTGGCGTTTCACTCATTGCTCTGGTTCAGAAAGCAAATGTGTGTGTGTGTGTATATATATATACGATTAAGAAACAAAAACCACACAAGGAAGGAAAGACGAGAGGAACCAGGTTCATTTCGATTGGATCGGAGAGAGCCGAGAGGGTGGGGTGGGGGGGGACCCGATCGAGAGGTCTCCGAAACAACGAGGGCTTTTGATGTTCGGGAAAAGAAGAGAACTATTTTTAAAAAAAATAATTTTTTTTTAAAAAAAGAAAGAAAATTGAGCCATAAAAACCCGAAGGAGGGAGTCAATACCCCTCAGCGACACCAGTGTGAAGGTACGGGCAGAGGAGATGCGAACGGTGGGGAGGGAGGGAAGGAGGGAGGGAGGGAGGGGGGGGGAGGGAATGAGGCATAAATCAGCGTCTGGGCCCTGGTTCCTTCACACCAGACGAGACGGTAGCCATGACACCCCAACCCCCCCCACCCCTCCCCCACTATACTCTGACGCCTGTCCCCGGCCCTGAGCGGCCCGAGGACAGCTGAAGACCGCACGAGATAAAAAGCGAGGACTGAACACAACTCACGGTGGCTTCATCATTGCGAGCCGACGAGCTTCTTTAAAGCATTCGTGAGAAGGGGGGGAAAAAAAAGGCAGTCGGTGCCGCGGCTTCTCCTGTCTCTGTCTCTCTCTCTCTCTCCTCGATTCAAATTTCGCGGGCGGGACGAGCCGCGCGTCACACCAACCGCCGTTTTTTTTCTAACCGTCAAATAAAAACCAAACAACCGCGCCCCGGCGCTGCTGATTGGTCGCCTCGCCTGTCACTCTCCCACCGCTCGGCTGCCCTCCGATCAGCTGCCTCCCGCTTGCCCCCGCCCTCCCCGCGCGCTCGACGCCTCTCATTGGTGGTCTCCTCTGTCACTCACTCCCTCCTTCCTCCTCCGCCCCCACCTCCGCCCCCACCTGCCCGCAGCGGCGAGCAGTCCCGCCCTACCAGCCTCCTGATAGGTCCGGCCTGCCCAGCCTGGCGCCCGCTGATTGGGCGAGCCGCCTGTCCATCACAAAAACGCCGTTGGCCATTGCTTTCGTTTAAAAAAAACGGTCAGGGCCGGGCTGGGAGTCTGGCGCATGCGCAGACCCGTCACCGAACCAGACCGCCTCCAAACCGAACCAGAGTCGCTGCTGTCCCGATTTATATCGTATAATTGTTGTTGTTGTTGTTGTTGTCGTATCCCACCCTAAACAAGGACCCTCCGGAGGTGGTTGTGGGGGGGGGAATGCGCGCGCTCCCCCTGGAGGTACGCAGCCGGTTCAGCTGATTCCAGATAGTGTTTGAGAACAGTAATAATAATAATAATAATCGTTGCATTTTACATAGCGCTTTTCACGTCGGAAGGACGTCCCAAAGCGCTTCACAGAACACACTGTAAAGTGAATTGACTGTATATTTGTGGGCGAACGCGGCAGCCAATTGCGCACAGCAATGTCCCACAAACAGTCGCAGATTGAAAATGACCAATTTATTATTGTTTTGGTTTTGGAGGGATTATTATTAGGCTCTGTGTGGAGTAAGGAAACTTGCCCAAGGTTTCGCCCTGACCTGCCTGGACCCCGGCGGGGCCTCGAGACGTCTCAAAGCGCTTCGCGGGATACACCGTAAAGCGTAGTGACTGTGCGCGTGTGCGTTTTGTTTTTGCACGCAGCGGCGAGGTCCCCACACGAGCGGACGGCCGTCAAACTGATGACCCGTGTTTTTATCCGGGGGGGGGGGGCTGTTGGCCAGAGGATCGAAGGCCAATTGTTGTCGCTGCCGCCTGCGCCTTATAGGGAGGGTTTTTTATTTTTAAAATCAGCTATTCAGGTTTCCATTGAATTTCAATCGGCGGGAAAAACGAACCTCAGAACTCCTGCCGAGAGGCTTCCTGCCAGGTACAGGCTGAGGGGAAAGGTGCCAAATCCTTGGAATCATAGAATTATACAGCACAGAAGGAGGCCATTCGGCCATCGTGTCTGTGCCGGGTCTTTGAAAAGAGCTTCCAATTCAACCCCACTCCCCCGCTCTGTCCCCATAGCCCTGCAAACTTGTCCTCTCCAAATAATTATCTACTCCCCAAATAATAATGGTGGAACCCAGCCTGCCTTGCTTATTTACCCCCCCCCCCCCCCCGGTTTTATTACACTTTCCTGATATATTTATCATATTGTTTAACACTGTTTATCGGATTGGCTCCTCCAATATTACACATGTTTGGGTTTAGTACTGTGTGTGAATACTTATCTTTGTTTCCCTCCGATCAACATTTTTTCACAGCTCTGTGTTATCATTTTGATCTTGTACCAGTCCAGAACTGCTTAGGATGGGACTTTCATCTGAGCTCCTGTTTGTGTGCTCTCCAGGTGAATGTTAAAGATCACACAAAACTATTCGAAAAGATAAGGGGATTACTCCCAAAGTCCTGGCCAACATTCCTCCTGGTTAATCAGTGATTCGTATCTTGGTTGAATGTAGGACCTTGGTGAGAGCCCATTGGATGCCGCATTTGTCGACAATTACACTTGTCAGTAATTACCTTTGAAATACTTTTGAGACATTATATGGTTGGAGTCACTATATAAAATATAAGGATGACCGAGGACCTATTTGCTTGTTCAGGGTGGTTGTTACAGATCTCATGGCGCTATTCGAAAAGATATTGTCTCTCCCGGTGCCCTAGCCAACAATCCCCAAAATAAAATTGGTCGCTCACTCCATGGACACTGATGCGCACAACTAGCTGCTGCATTTCGTCCACAAAATACACTTTACACGCGTCAATTCACATAAAATATGTTAATTCACTTGACATAAAAATTTGTCAATTCACTTTACAGTAAATCCTGTGAAGCACTTTGAGATGTCTTGATAACGTGATAAGGTAATATATCAGATGCCAGGATTATTATTATTATGATTGCAGTATATTATTAGTACCCTTAAATTACTGGAGAGTTCCACTTGGTGGCAGTACAATGCCAGAGAGATTTTTTTTGATTCACAAGTGAAACAGATGTAGAATATTTATTGCGTAACATGGGATCAGGCAACCCGATTAGATGGAAAGGTTATGTAAAGCCAGAAATAAATAGAAAATATTTGTTCCGAAAAAAATGGCCGATAAATATGTTAACGACTATCTATTTCATTTTAATGCTTGTTTTAGTGTAATCCAGATCAGGAACCTTTCATCCAAATTCAAATACATCCTCTGCAAAGTCAGTGAAAGTTAAAAGCAAAAATTCAGAGTGACCAACAATGCATTGTTACTGGGAGATTCATCAATTTTTAAAAAATGTAATTCAGTGTTTGCAATGCATTTGGAGTCTTGTAGCTCAGTGGTTAGAGCACTCGCCTCACAAACGAGAGAATCCAGGTTCGATTCCCAGGTGGGGCGAAACCTTGGGTAAGTTTCCTTACTCCACACGCCTCTGTTTACATACCAGTAAGTAGAAATCTGGTTGTTGGTCGATTGGCAAATTTCTTTCCGGGGGGGTCATAATGCCTCAAAAAAATGTGGTCACTCAATCCATGACAGTTTGTGGGACACTGCTGTGCGCAATTGGCTGCCGTGTTTCCACCACTAAATACACAGTCACTCCACTTTACAGTACATTCTGTGAAGCGCTTTGAGATGTCTCAATGACTGTATCAAATGCAAGGATTATTATTATTAATAATAATACCATCACAGAGTGCCACATTGTTCATTTAGACTAAAATCCTTGGGGAGTGCAGGGTGTTGATGAAAACCTGTATGTGCTGACTTTCACATGTGTATCATTTTTACATTCAGTGGTGCAGAATAACAGTGAATAGCAGTGTAAAAATAACAGCCAGTGGATTTATAGCCAAAATGACTGCGACACAGAATTTACATATTTTGCGAGACACGTAGCCTCCAATGCAGAATGATCTGCCATTTTAACACTCAGGAAGAAGACAAACTATGTAGATATCAAAATTAATTAAAATTCACGGATCCTGGTTTACAATCAACACTTGATTTCACTGGATTGCTTATTTTTATATAGAACTGAGCAGTGCACAGCAACACAATAAGAACTATTTACATTTATAAGATGACATTGATTCAAAAGTCCTTGAAGCACTGCATTATAAATATTGATTTGGATAACAATGTTTTTTTTACATCCACCTGAACCACAAGGCAGAGAGGAACATTGTCTTTATAATAGTCATTACATTTGATAATCGCGCCTTTCATATCAAGTGGATGTCTCAAAGCGCTTCACAGGATTTCCTGAAGTGACTGTGATAATTTGTAGGTAAATGCTGCAGCCAATTTGTGTACCCCAATATCTCACAAGCAGCTAATTAATAGCTTGTTCAAAAACAAAGCGATCATCTGGAATTACTATACAATTGTTGCATTTATATGGCATTTAGATATTCATAAGTCATTACACTTTATAGTATATTCTGTGAAGTGCTTTGAGACGTCTCGAAGATGTGACAAGGTGCTATATCAAATGCAAGGATTATTATTTTTATTATAATTTTATCCCATCAAAAATGACTCAAAGTGCTGAACAAAATAAGTCACTTTGAAATGTAGTGACTGGTAAAATCGGAATAAAAACAAATCTGCGGTTTGAAAGCTGCAGGAAAGTTCAGGATTTGAATACGTAGTTAGGTTTCATTGTCTGTGAATTGCTTTATTCATTTTTGCGGTGAGTATTGAGTTCTTTGGCTGAGGGACCGCATCAATTCTAAAAGTAGCATTGGGGTTTGATTGCCGCAAGATAAGACAGCCTTTTATTCACACCTGCTCATTGAACTATCATAGCAGATGTGGTCTGCTTGTATATCATGTATTATCAGAGGAGCTCAGTCCCAGAGGCCTTTTGCTGTCAAAGGACATCTTTGTTATATTCGCACAGCATTCCTGGGCCTCAATTCCATTCTGAAAACCTACACCATCAAAACAACACCAATTGTCACGTCCATACACGAGACACTCCCAAACCTACAGAGCTCCTGTATTTTACCTGGAAAACATATCCAGGATGTTCACTGGGGGCGAAAAAAACGAACTGGGTTTGGGGTTTCTTCTTATATAATGAATAATAATCCTTGCATTTGATGCAACACCTTATCACGTCGTCGAGACGTCTCAAAGCGCTTCACGGGATTTACTGTACAGTGTGGTGACTGTGGGCGAAACACAGCAGCCAGTTTGCACACAGCAGTGTCCCCAAAACAGCCGTGGAGTTAGTGACGAATGTTATCTGGGGGATTGTTGGCCAAAACACCCGGAGAGAGAGAAAAACTCCCCTCTCTTAGTGCCATAGGACCTCTAACGTCCACCTGAACAGGCAGACGGGACTTCAGTTTAACGTCCATTTGAGCGAAGGGAATGAGGGAAGAGTGGGGGGAGGAGGCAAAGCAATCAGCTTCACTGAAGAAAGGTGTGCGGGAGAGGAACTAACAGAATGTCGAAGTGACATGAACCACCATTGTTCTCCACATGTGTCAGTGCTGTTGTCAAGGGAGCAAGAAACAGACAGCCTTCGCTTTGACGTGCCGGGCAAACATAGACATACAGTATAACACAGCGAGGCTATCAACATCCGCCCAGAGACACGACCAAGGTCGTCCGTCAGTCACCTGCCTACCCGCAGGGGAAGGGGTGGTGGGGCGGAAGTAAAATAACTGGCCACAACCCTACTTGGTGGGTGT